GAGGAAGTGGGAGGGGAGCTGTTGCATTGTGGTAAACTGTGGTCAATGTCATGAGACAAAGTATATGTGAACCACTGTATGGAAAGTAAATTTGCTCTATAAACCTTCACCCAAATCACAATAAAAAAAAATCATCATTGACTATAATGCTGACATAAAGATTAAGAAAAGCTTGCTAACTTGTCCACATAAAACACTAAATAAATATATTAATTTCCTTGAGAAACAATCGTTTTGTAGAAGACTGGTATATCAACTTAGCATGAGCAGAGTTACACAGTAAGAGTCTCCTTGAAATAATTTGACTAATATGAATTCTTGTATTACAATTTTGAAGTTGACTAGGAGGGGACTTATAAAAATGTAACTCATAACCCACTTCCTGTTTCACTTATAAACTTAGGAAAGATGTTAAGTTTTGGTGACAAAGGATGTTCTAATTGACTCATTTTAAAGAAACTGGAAATGAGAAAGATTGAATGAAGTTTATAAGAATAAAGTTTTAAAGCAAGGAGGAACTTGGGAAGATTTGCAGTTTAAATCTAGCCTTGGCAGATAAGAGGATGGTAGAACCAGAGCAGCAAAATGGTTTTGTCAGAGGTAAGCTCAAAGGCACTAGAAGCTAGATCTCCTTGTTACTAATGTAGTGCTCTTGCTGTAATGGAGCTAGCACCTTCAACATCATAGTCTTCATCCTAACCACCTGCATTATGATTACAATCAAAAGAATTACATATATCTCTGGATAAAAGCATGCAGATGGGCTTAATAATGATCTTCCAGGACTTGTAATAAAAATCTACAGGTATATACAGGAAATAGAAAAACTGTGGAAAACAGTGAAAGTCAGTCAAACCAGGAATTTTAAAAAATGGAGATATCATATATATTAATTATAAAGAGTTTACCTGAGGATATGTTTCCTTTTTGTCTTCATGTAAAGATTGAGGTGCTGATAGAAAGTCCTTTTTCTCACAACTCTCATGGCTGATAAGTGTGTCTGCATAGTTGGGCTGGGGGAAGATTAGGTGGCTCTTCCGGGAATCCGCAGTGAGGGACACCTCATGGGAGTAGGTCTGCAGGAAAGCCCGCACCCCATCCATGCCCACAAAATGAGAGGCAGGTACGTCTGCTAATCCTCTGCTCCGATCCTGGAGCAGGTGCGACATGTGCCAGCGCCGGAGCCTGAGCACCATCAGAACAATGACGAAGGCGAGGAAGACACAAGAGACTGTGGCCACTGCCACGACCAGGTACAGCGTGAGGCCCGAGTCATCAGGGTTGGCAGGAGTCTTGATGCTATCTAGGTCAGCCAGGACTTCTGGGATGCTGTCAGCCACGGCTATGGTGAGCGTCACAGTGGCAGAGAGAGGAGGTTGGCCGTGGTCCTGGACAGCCACTACAAGACTCTGTTTGAGTGCGTCTCTCTCGTGCAGGGCCCGCGCTGTGCGTACCTCACCTGTGTGCACCCCCACTGCAAATAGACCCGGCTCGCTGGCTTTGAGTAGGTGGTAGGACAGCCATGCATTCTGGCCTGAGTCTCTGTCCACCGCCACCACCTTAGTCACCATGTAGCCAGGCTCCGCTGAGCGGGGTGCCAGCTCCACACCGGTGGAACCATCCATGGGGAGGGCGGGGTACAGGATCTCAGGTGCATTGTCGTTCTGGTCCAGCACGAACAGACTCAGTGATACATTGTTGCTGAGTGGCGGGTCCCCACTGTCCCTTGCTGTCACCCACAACTGCAGGTTGTGGAACTGCTCAAAGTCAAAGGAGCGCAGTGCGTATAGGACTCCTGTGTCGGAGTTGATGGAGAAGTAGGAGGACAGGGGCGCCCCCTGTATGGTGTCCTCCGCCAGGGAGTAAATGACTCGCGCGTTCTCATTGCTGTCAGGGTCATGGGCGGTCACGGAAAAGATGGAGGCACCTCTGGGGTTGTTTTCGGGAATGTAGGCAGAGTAGGATTCCTGGGGGAAGGCTGGAGGGTTGTCGTTGACGTCTGTCACTAGTAGAGAAATATGAGCTTCAGTAGAGAGAGCTGGAGTTCCCTCATCTGCTGCTGTCACTGTGACATTGTACCCAGAGGTGAATTCTCTGTCCAGTGTTCTTTCTGTCACTAAACGGTAATAATTATCAACCAATTTCTCTAATTTAAAGGGCAGATCTCCAGAAATGGAACATGTGGTGCGACCATTATCTCCAGAGTCCTGATCATGCACATTGATGAGAGCAATGATGGTCCCAGGAGGAAAGTTTTCTGGAACTGCAGTGGTGACAGGGGTGATGGTCATCTCTGGGGCATTATCATTCACGTCCAGAACAGTGACCAGCACCTTAGCTCTGGACATGAGCCCAGCACCATCCTGAGCTTGAATTTCCATAGTATATATTTCATATTCTTCAAAATCCAGTGGTTCTTTGTTTACTATTTCTCCAGTGTAAGAATCCAGCTGAAATATTCGGGCCACTTTGTGATCTATATTGTGAAACGAGTATGTTACTTCCCCATTGGCTCCCTCATCTGGGTCTGTGGCATTTACCACAAGCAGCTGAGTGCCCAGTGGCACGTTCTCGGGGACATTTATGTGGTATTGTGCCTGAGTGAACGCTGGAGGATTGTCATTGACATCTACCACCTGAACACGGATGCGAAGGGTGCCAGAACGAACTGGGTCACCCCCATCCGAGGCGGTGAGCACGAGGTGGTGGACAGCTTCTTTTTCCCTATCTAGGGGTCTCTGCAGCACCATCTCTGGGTGTTGGGGCACACCAGCTCCCTGCTGCACATCCAGGGAGAAATGAGGGTTCCAGCTGAGCTCGTAGCTCTGGAGCGAGTTCATCCCCACATCAAGGTCTTGGCCAAATGGCAGAGGGATCCTGGTACCTACAGTGGTTATTTCATTCATTTTAACTTCCAGTTCCTCTAACTGGAATTGGGGAGTATTGTCGTTAATATCAATTATTTCCACATCGACAGGGAAAAGCTTCATTTTATCCTTTAGTAGAATGTTAAAACTCACCATACACCGTACACTCTGTGCACAGAGTTCCTCCCGGTCTATCCTCCCTGCCGTGATCAAGCTGCCGCTTCGCGGGTTCAGAGCGAAAAACTGCATCTTACCTCTGGAAACGATGCGGACTCTGCTCTCCGTCAGCTCCTGAGGTTGTAGCCCCAGGTCCTCGGCGATGTTGCCCACGAAGGAACCCTTGTCTACTTCTTCTGGCACCGAGTAGTGGATCTTCCCGGCTCTGGCTTCTAACAGGAACACCCCAAAAAGGCACAGCAGGACCAGCCCGCTGCAGCCGAGCAGCTTTGGCCGAAACGCCATTGCTTCCACTTCGTAGTTTTCTCCCAGTCCGGTAACACGGATATCGTTTCCTTGCTGTTCTGAGCCTAAATCAACCAGATTTTCAGCAGAATTCAGAGCAGGGAGTCGTCCAGAAGTAGAGTGTGGGGCAGCCTCGGGACGACTGATTTTAACCTGGCGATGAATAAGGTTCTAAAACACAGGCTTTTTTTTCCCCTACCAAGTGTGTGTTCTGAGCATATCTCCCAGATTGGTGAACAGCGGCGCCCAGAGACCTAAGCAGTTACTGCAACCTAGAAAAAACTCATTAACCTGACCCACCCTTTAAGTCTTAGTTTACTGCCGAGGAAATAGTTACCATTCTACAATATATGTATAAAAGGAAACATTATTACGTCCATTTAATTAAAAATGTCTAAATGCCACTAAATTCCAATACATGGTTTAATCCCCGTGTTCCCAAGCTATGTGCTTTCCCTTTCTGATAGGGAGTGGTAGAGAGCTCTCTAATGACACAGAGAAGAAAATCACCCCTCTACTTCTTCCATAGCTTGAAAATTGACAATTTCCCAACCTACATAAGCCAGGACAGCTGCTCTTTGACTGGAGGGTGAAAAAAAAATCAGAAGTAAAAAGAAACTTTTAGAAAATAAGCTAGATTATTTTTAAATGGACCACCCTGTTTACTTTCCACTGTACTCTGAATATTTATCAGAATCTTTGGACTTCTGAAGGCTATGTTTTACTCAGAGGTAATCTATTGGAAGTAAATTAACATTGGGCTCAAGAAAAAAAATCACATGGATATATATATATATATATATATATATATATATA